TTTTTGAATCACTAATATGAATACAAAGCTGTTACCACTGTCAGATACAGAAGATAACAGTGCAACAGAGCAGCATTAAATTTGACAGAAAGCAATCCAAAGGAAATACAATTTTTCTAAAGAAAGGAAAAAGGGTAAAACTTCCTCACTGCAACTCAATATTAAAAATTGCTGTTTTGCAGCACCACTTATAGTGCTCGTGGCATATGATTCACACTTTGGGGAAAAAAATGAACTAAATGGATAATGACACAGTACTGTGACGTAAGTCAAATTACAGCATAGACTATAAAACTCAAATTACTAACCCTTCGGGCAGGATTCACGATGCATTAGGAAAGTCTGCCCCAGATGCGTGGGTAGCAGGATACTACAATAGGGTAATATCTCTTCTCACATATCCAGGGACCATTTGCCTGGAACAGCTAAGAATCAGTGAGCAGAGAAAACAGGCACAGAGTCCAGGCATTAAAGTGTACACATTTCACCATGGAAAACAGCATCAGATCTTAATCTGAAGCCCATGTGCTTTTTTTTTGGCCAGTATTTTAATCACACATTCACGTACTAATTTTATATACTCCCATCATTCTTTAATCTATGAGGAAATACCAGGTTTCTTTAATCCTATATAGATTTTAGCTTATTTGTCTGATTAAAAATAAATAAGAACCGACTAAGTTAGGACATGAGAAGCCGGTCAGTGTCCTGGCCTCTCTCTGGGTTTGCACGGAGCAAGGTCCAGCATCCCACCGGTGGAGGGGTGGGAGGGCGCGGCTGGCGTGGAGGGGCAGGTGGAGGCTCCACCCCCAGCCCTCTCTGCCCAGCACATCTTGTCATTCTGGGGACAGAACCGTTCACACTGCGCTCATCCCAGGAAAAAGTCCCCACAGTCTGTCTCCAACCCATCCGCCCTGCCCTCCCCCTCCCCCAGCTCACGCTTCTCTTTCTGACTCCACACTCAATTCTCTTGCCTTTGTTCCTGAAACTTCAGAGAGCAACACCACAGCAGTCAGGGACTGGAGGTCCTGGTGGCTCTTCCTGGCCTGGGAAATGAGCCTGGAAAAACTCCTCTCCTCTTCATTTGCAGGTTTCTTTTGGTGAGAAACAGGAAACTTGTCTTTTCTCCCTCCCTTGAGCAAGGGAATGTCAGGAGAGGCAGAATTTTGCCCCAGGAATGGAAGCCAATTTGAACTTCCGTCAGCTCGAGCCTCTCAAGCTTTAAGCTGGAATATCGTGGAGGTTTCCGACCTCCCATGTGGGCAGGTGCAAGGCTGCCGGAAGCTGAGCAAATCCGTGCTCCTGACCTCGGGACACTGATGGGGGCAGGCTGCAAAGTGGGCACAGCTAAGAACTTGCTCCTTGGTGGTGCAAGTAGGGTGGGTGGGCCAGCAGGGGGATCACCAGGGCTGGCATCCCCAGGGAGCTTCTTAGCAATGCAGAAGCTCCAGACCCAGTGCATCAAAATCTCCATTTTAACAAAATCCTATGCTTTCAGTAGCCTTTCCCTCCACTGTCCAGCAATGCTCTCTGCCAAATCAGGAACCGAGGAGGCCAATAAAGAGCCCAGTGTGACAGCAGCCAGCGTTGGCTGTGGCCCTGCTACAACCCAGCTGCGCAGGACTCAAAGCAACAGCCTTGGATGATGGAGGCCACCTCTGCCGGGGCTGTCGGCTCACAGGGGCCTCCAGACACGAGCCCCATTCCCTCCCAGATGCCTGCATCCCTGCCAAGTAGGGGTCCTCGCACTGCCTCTCTCAGGCTGCAGCCTGTGTAACTTTTTTTTAACTACTCAGCTGCCTTGGAGATTCGCATTCATGGGATTTTATCAGCAGAAGGTGAGAGAGGAGACTGGGAGATTGTCCTGATCTGGAGTAGCTCAAGACCTGTGTTCCTGTGGGTGAGACTGAAACAGTGTCCTTCTTCTGCTTGGTCATCTGTGCGGTTTTTTCACCACCACAAAGAAAGCTCCCTCCACCCCCGCCACACATGCACGCACACACACACACACGTACACACACACGAGCCAGAGCAAGGTCTGCCAGCAGGGGAAGGGGCGGTTCACCCGTCCTCAGCATTTCTCCCGGAGCCTGATGAAAAGCAGAGGGGCTGCAAGGTCCGTCCCCAAAACTCCAACAACCGCACGAGGAGAAGCTGAAAATGAGGGGAAACAAAGGCGGGGGGGTATCCCGGGGAGAGAAAACACTGCGTCCTGATACGACCTCAGTGAAAGCTTTCCTTCTTCCAGCAACGCGCTGGAAGGCGTTAAGCGGACGCGAGGGAAGAGACAGGGGGCCGTTCCTCCTCCTCTGAATGCTGGAAAAGCAGCAGCTGCCATGGGAGCCGGTAAAACTGCTGGCTGACGATGCCGCCTGCCCACAGAGCATCCTGTCCCCCCAGCGTCGGTGATGGGGCTGGAGGCTCTGTGTTCAAGCTCCTAGGTTTTCTCTCCTCCCAAATAACTCAGCTCACACGTCTGCTCTTTCTCAGGCTTTACGACTGAGTCAACTGCCAAGACGGGAGAGGGCAGCTGCGATCACGTGCACCCAAGACAGGGGGACGCAGGACAGCCTCAGCGGCACCGCGGGCCTCCGATGTCCACCCCCGCCACGTCCAGGGTGAGGGACACCATCCGTCAACGACGTCTGTGCTGAGGGCAGGGCACTGCCTGCCACCACGTCCCAGGGCGGCCACTCTTTAGGGTGTCCCGTGACCTAGAGCTATGGCTGATGGTCAACTTAAAAAAAAAAAAAAGAGCTGGGTCAACCAGTCATCGTTTAGAGCTGGCAACCAGATGTCCTAGCAAGGGGGCGAGAGGCCACAGCACAGCGGGCCTGGAGAGGCTGGTGCCACATCAGGCCCACGAAGACAGGCCACGGGACTCTGAACATGGTATATGATGTGAGCTCTGCGGCAATGCTTCTACAATGTTGGTTCCAGCCCCACCCTTACAATCAAACCCCTTTATCTAAGCTGAGCTTGGCCCCTGCAACCAAACATGCTATTGGAAAACAAGCCCCCAAAATCACTTTTTTCCAAACACACTGTAAATCAACTATCCTTCAATTGAAAAAATTTTTTTCCACTTTTTCTAGTACCTTCAAGGTAAGAAATAATTCTCATAAAACGAAAAGAGAACCCTAAGTCAAGAGCGTACGGCTCGGTCTAAAGAGAGTTTCTAATTTACAGGATCTGCTAGGTGGCAGGAATTTTAAAAGTGGGGGATAAAATCATTTTTTCTTCAGTGCGTTTTCAAACAAATACTGATGGTCATCACTGTCTTTTAACAACAGCCCGCAGGAAAATCCTGCATCTGGTCCTTGGGGTTTCTGTGGAGGACATCAGACAGGAAGGACCAGACCTAAGGTTCACTGGGAAGAAACCTACAGGTTTTCGTAGGAACATAAAACAAAACACAAAGCAGGTGTGTAATACGAGAGAAAGAAAAGGATTATCGTGTTTACAAGCAATACAGAGTACATGTGGGCTTATCCTGGGGAAATTAAACCAGAGTCCTTGCAAGCACTGAATTCCATCCCTCAAGACAGAGCCTCTGGGAGCTGCCACTTTAACTTAAAGTAATTTATCAAACACACTCCAACAGGCAGTGGGACCAGCCCGCCGGGGAAGGCTCGAAGGGCTTTAAAACACAAGGTTAAACCAGGGCACCCATTTAAAAGTGAAAGGCTAAACAGGATAGAAATACCCTATTGGAGTGCTCAATGAAAAGGAAACAACATTACAGTGAAATCTGGAAATCAAAACAAACTCACAAATGAGCCACACAAATTCAGGTGGGCAGACCTGACCGCGGCCTAGTTAGAAATAAAAGGACAGCACACAGGTCCGTTCACTGCAGGGAGGCGGATGCTCACAGGAGCACCCCTGGTACCGGGGCCACCGCGGGCGAAAGCAGTCCTTCCCGGGGCGGCTCCCCTGACCTCAGCAGCCCACAGGATCGGGACACAGGACTCACCACCAGCCCTCACTGTCACACCCAGTAACGTGAAGAGGCGAGCTGATGACTTTCCCAGTCCACTCTCCACCACTGTGAATCAGAGCGACCCCACTTTGAGAAACTTGGCATCTCAAAAACTGTGCCGTGGAATATTGGGGGAAACACCTAAAAGGTGACTGAGCTTTTCTGTATGGCCTTAATTTCACCCCCAAATGGACGGGTAGCTTTCCTGCAAGCATCAGGGGAAAAGCACCTCTGGTAGCACGCGGCCAGCTGTACTTACTGAGAACGGCCCCTGGCGTCAGAAGAGACAAACGGACAATTCGAGTGGCATCTTTTTCTTACCATTCCGGGATACGTCAAGTTCGACCAGCTGCATGAAGTTTGCTATTTCTGGAGGGAGCCGCTGAATTTCATTATCACTAAGTCCAAGCTTTCGTAATTTGACTAGCTGGAAAAATTGCTGAAAGACAAAACAGTTCCATACAGATCTCACATATAGTTGCAATGCAAACTTTTTTGCCCAATATGAAATTTAAAAAACAGTTATGTCTTTTAAATATGAGGACAGCACCAATGTCAATTTCCTGATGTTGATATTGTACCATAGTCACATGACGATGTCACCACAGGGGTAAACTGGGTACACAGCACATCTCTGTGCCATTTCTGCAACTTCCCATCAATCTACAATGATTTCAAAATGAAAACTTTTTAAAAACTGAGTAAGTAACTCAATGAGAACAGTAATTACTCCTTTCTGCTATCCAGTTAGGTGGTCCCATTTTCTACTAAGAAAAATTGATGCTAAGACAACATTAAAGATATTTGAAAACTAGAATAAAATATTTTTCAAACATTTTTTAAAAGACATTACTGTGCATCACAAAATATATAAATATCCCACAACGGTGTGGAGGAGAATCATTTCCGACCAATCTAAAAAAGAGCCTGCTGTGGATCATTCCATTAACCACGGCACTCTGAGCACATGCCTGTGGCCCCACACCCTCTGCAAACGGTACTCAAATGGCATTAAAGGAATTTGTAGAGAGATGAACACAGACATAAAAATATGACAACAAGGCGTGAAGGCAATTCAAAATGAGAGGGAACAAGAAGCAAAGTAGACATGCAACAAAATCCTCGAAGCCAGAAAACAGATCAGCAAAGGGTAGCCAACGGAAGAATCAAAACACAGCTGAGATGGAAGCCTGGCGTGAGCAGCCAATCGGAGGTTAGTTCCAGGTACTGCTGAAGAAAGGAGATCTGGCTGAAGATGGATATAAGGATGTCTGGTCCCCATAACCCCTTCTCTACCCTGCACAACCAGGCAAGGTACCAGAAAGCATGGCTAAGAGAGGGGCGTGGTACCCTACTGCACACGGGGGGGGGGGGCAGGAGATGGTGTCAGAGCCTGCTTAGTGCTAACAACCCCCCTCCCCGCAGCCAGGCTCCAGGTGGGGAAACAGGCTCACGGTGCACTGTCAGGAAGCCCCACATTCCAAGCCCCACCCAGGCACACTGGGCTTCCAATCATCTTTTTGTTTTCCCCTTCAAGTGCCTGGATCTCATTTAAACAGAGGTGAGGTTCTCCCGACACTGGAGGACAAAAAGCCCTTAACATGCAAGAGAGTGAGTGCCCACACACCCCTCAGAAGAAACAAATGAGGGCGGGGGCAGGGAAAACTTCATCAGCCTAAAATGGAATGAATACCCAGGGAAATTAGAGACAGAGAAGCAGTGTGATGCTCTAAGAGGCAAGCTTCGAAGAATAAACTCTCAGAAATTAGATGCTAATGCAACATCGATGTAAGAATCAAAAAAAAAAAAGAGAGAGAGATGTAAGATAAACCTAACAAAAAGTCCCTCAGAAAGTAGAATAGAGAGACAATGAGATGGAGAAACAGGAGAGGAAAAGATACGAAGAGTAAAGGATCGGACCGCAAGGCGCTAACTACAACGAACAGGTATTCCAGAGAGAAGACACAGGGACGGCAGAGGACACGTTTTCCAGTCTGAAAGGGCCCACGACAGGGACAATGAAACGAATGAAACAGAGTACAGAGGGATACCAAGGACTATTATAAAATTCCATGACTCCAGAATAAGAAGATTCTAAAGCTTCCAGAGACCAGAGGGTGGGGGCAGGGGGATCATAACAAAGGACTGGGAGTCAGAACAGCACTGAACTCAACAGCAGACTTGAAAGTAAGAAGCCAATGGAGCAATGCCTTTAAAAGGCCATGAAAACATTATTCCCAACCTAAAGTTACGTACCCAGCAAACTATCAACCACGTAGGGCGACAGAATAAAGGCGCTTCCAGACATGCGTGGTCTCACAGTTTACCTTCCGTACACCTTTCTCAAGAATCCATCACAATGTGGAAGTAAATCTAAAAGGGGGAGGAGCTGAGATCCAGACGTCAGAGAACCAGCAAAACAGAGAGACAGAGGAAATTCCCTGGATAAAACAGTGACAGAATTCCAAGGCGTCAGCAGAGCAGTAGGTCCTAAGAGCGATCAGCCTATATTGAAAAGAATGTGAGGGCTCCCAGAGGGGCGCTCTGGAAAAAAAACTAAAATAAAAACACACGTGAGGGCTTAGCCGAGGTGCTTGGAAGTATCGAGATCTGCTTGGTGATAACTTAGAAACTGAAATGGGGAGGGGGCAGGGTATAGCTCAGTGGTGAAGTGTGTGCTCAGCACGCATGAGAGGTCCTGGGTTCCATCTCCAGTACCGCCATTAAAAATAAATAAATAAATAAATAATCCTAATTAACCCCCCCCAAAATTTTAAAATAAAAAATAAATAATAATTAAAAATAAAAATAAAATAGTTGGACAAAAAAAGAGAAATTGAAATAGAGAAAACAAAGCAAGCAAAAAAGGACAGAGTTATTAATTCCAGGAAAAATAAATAGTATAAGACATAATCGTAGAAGAAATAGAAGATTTGGTTGTGAACAATACTTCAATAGCCATAGGATTTTAAGATATATATATTTAGAACAAAATTTTTATTACGTCAATATTGAAAGGATGTGAAAGAAACTCTAAGTGCTAAAGACTCATCTTCCATAGAAGAAAATCAATAAATAGCTAAAAAGTGGGGGTGGGAGAACAAACTTGTAAAAGCAAGCCATTTAGGGATGTGGAGGCAGATGTCCCTAGACACACCAAGAGCTGGGGGTTCTCAAAACCCAGAGCCTGGAGTTGGGGGAGGGGGGCACGAGGCTGCCACCCCTCACTGATCCTGATGCAACTTCTTGGATTTTTCAAAAATTACTTGCATATATTACTTTGCTAAAAACAGAACTTGAATTTATAAAGGAAAAAGGCTCTGCTAAGAGTACAGGGCGCTCCACATGATAATTTTGAAGGATGCTCGCATTTAATAAGCTTCATCTTTTTTTTCTTTTTTGGGTACAAGGGATTGTAACTTCTATAATCAAAAAGAAGTTATCCTCTTTTTAGAAATCAGTCGGGCAATACACAAACCATAACAAGTTTTCAAGTCCATTGACATAAGAACAATACTTTGGGGCATCCGTTCTCATCAATGAAATATTTGTAGATAAGAACAACATGCTACGATGTATAATATGCCTTCACATTCTCACCACTAAAAATGAAAAACATGTCAAAGAAGGGAAATGATTAGCATACCACTAGTAATTCACTAGTAAGCAAAGAACAAAATCGATCACTATAAACACCACAGAACTTGAAAAAGACTTACGATGCAAATAGAATTTAAAAAGAAAACAAGATGGCAGGTACACTATGTGAAAAAACAAGGTGTGCGTGCGGGGAAGGGATCATAGCGGGGCAGGGTTGTGGGGGTGTGGAAGTTGTGCAGGGCGATAAACGAAAGGCATGAACAACTTTATTTTTTTAAGGGAAAAAAAAGGAAAGACATTTCAAAATAAAATGAACTATGCATCTCAGCAAATGAATGCTACCAATTAGCTGCATATGATAACGAAAGTGCTCAACAAAAGGTCTAATCCTTTGGATTTCTTTAATCGTAGAGCTGAAATTTAATTTCTTAAGGAAAGGTACTGACATTTCCTTAGGCTGCATTATATTAAAGCATTAGCTGACACAAAAGCCATTCAAAAGAGTCACATTTGAATAAGTGAGCTTATGCCAATTGTTCCGAGAGTCTGACAGTTTCATAATGCATCCGTGTGTTTACTCAAGCATGAAAAGCTCACTTTGTTTTCCAGGAAAGGCATAATAGCAACAGCACAAAAACCATCCCCAAAGCCATACATTCAGGGACCAGTCAGAAATCATATGAGAAATCAAGTCAATTAGAGACTCAGATCTACAGTGAATAATAAGTTAGGTTTACACTGGGGGAAATGACAGCCTACAAAGCTCCCCATCCAATAGAAATTCCAATGGCAAGCAAATTTAAGTTTTGTTCTACATGTTAAAAGCATCCTCAAAGAAAGCCTGCCACAAACACTCTTTATTCAACTGGGGAAGCACATACCGGATGGAAAAACAATCCTCTCTGACAGCATCCTAAGATGAAAACAGTAACTCCTCAATCCTTCTCTTATTATCCTGATGGGATCTTAATTTGGCATCCAAATGCTTTAAATTAACTGTATTCTTATAATACAGACACAAGCCACTAAGATTCATTAAACCTTCAAGTTTTTGACTTCCTCAGATAGTCAGGGAAGAAAACTCAATAAGCTTATAAACCCTTCTTCTGGATTACAGTCTCTAATCATCTCAATGTCTCTACAACACTGGCACTTGTGTGTATCATAGTCAGCCACTGCTGCATAACAAATCATCCCAAACTTGGTGACTGAAAAACAACACGAGTTTTTTTCTCTTCTCACATTTCCATGGGGTGCCTGGGCAGTTCCTCTGCTCTTTTCACCTGACCTCACTCATGCAATTACACTCAGCTAGAGGGTCAGAAGGGGTGGAGATCCCCCCTGGTCTCACTCTTCCAGTCTGGCAGCAGTGCCAGCACCAGCTGGAGCCCCTCTGTTCTCCACAGGCCTCTTTCCTCTCCCTTATGATAGTATGGCTTCTTATACAAAGCTCTCTGAGCAGCGTCTGAAAGAGGCAAAGAGTCTGTGAGGACTCTTGGGGAAATCTGGTAGAGTAAATGCTCTACCACAAGATGGCATAGAATCCTCAGGTGTGCCATGTAAAAACTACACAGTTTATCCCAGCAAATTCTATGGTTAATCACAGAGTAATGATTTTTCTAAAGGAAAGTCAAACAGAAAAATACATTAATATTATGAATAAACATTGATTGACAAGATTTTTGATACATGAGAAAGTTATAATAAAGGGAAAAACCCAAGAAATATTCATAAAATATTAAAAAGATCCATTGGCTAAAGCAGAGAATTCAAACAAGCATATCTCACACCCAAATTTGAATTTGAAATGGTTTTAGCAAACACTCAAAAATAAGAACTACTGATGAAATAAGTGTTAATAAGACACTTTTTTAGTGTTTTCTGGTAAAGAAGAGGGGAATGGGTATGCTCCCGGGTGAGTCACTTGACTTCTCTGGTCCTTCATTTCCTTGTGTAAGAAATAAGCATGACAGGAACATTATGCTCTACACCAGAAATTGACACACTGTAATTGATGGTACTTCAATTAAAAAAAAAAAAGAAGTAAGCATTAAATGGTCAGAGGGCTATTTTCAGTTCTAAAAATATTAGGACTGCATTTCAAAATACCTTCAATGTACCATAAGAAACATGAAAATCCTATTAGCACTCAATATAATAAGCATGATGGTAAAAATGCATAAAATTACGGAAAGTAGATTAGTGGTTGCCTAGGAAACGGGAAATTACTGCTAATGGGTATGAGGTTCCTTGCAGGGTGATGGAGACACTCTAAAATTAATCATGGTAATGGCTGCACAACTCCACAAACATCCAAAAACCACTGAATTGTGCACTTCAAATGGGCAAATTGTATGGCATGTGAATTACATCTCAAAAAAGATGTCGAATCATGCACAGAATTGGTAGAAATCAATAAAGAATGGATCCCTTTTGGTCATGAAAGACTAGGCTAGGGACACACAGACACTTTGATTTTTATTGAAGTGTAGTTGATTTATAATGTTATATTAGTTTCAAGTGCACAGCAAAGTGATTCAGTCATACAATCTTTTTCAGATTCTTTTCCATTATAGGTTATTACAAGATATTGAGTATAGTTCCCTGTGGTATATATACAGTAGGTCCTTGTTGTTTATCTGTTTTATACATGGTGGTGTGTATCTGTTAATTCCAAATCCCAAGTTAACCCTCCCCCTTCTTCTCCCCTGGTAACCATAAATTTGCTTTCCATGTCTGTGAGTCTGTTTCTATCTTGTAAATAAGTACATTTGTCTCATTTTTTAAGATTCCACTATAAGTGATCTCATATGATATTTATCTTTCTCTATTTGACTTACTTCATTTAGTATGACAATCTCCAGGTCCATTCATGTTGCTGCAAATAGCATTATTTTATTCTTTTTTATGGCTGAGTAGTACTCCATTGTAAAAATATACCACAACTTCTTTACCCAGTCATTGTCAATGGACATTTAGGTTGTTTCCATGTCTTGGCTATTGTAAACAGTGCTGCTGTGAACATTGAGGTGCACGTATCCTTTCGAACTGGAGTTTTTGTAGACACTTTTATTTAACTGAATTCCTCTATGCACCAATTAGGTAAAGTGTTTTACCTCCAGTTCACGGATGAGGAAATTGAGGTTTCTGCAACATTTAGTGGCTCCCCCAACACTGCTGCCAGTTAACAACATTCTAGCAGGGAAATTCCAAAGCACAGCCACGTTAGAGGACCACAAAGTAGTAAGTGCTCAGGTAACTCACAAACAGAACATTTGTGCAACTGTATTCTAATTAGCTAAGTGAAGCAAAGTCACGGGAAGGGGGAGGGGCTGGGATGGGTAACACTAGGATGGTCCTGATGCTGCAGGAAGGGAAAGAACGAGCTAACGAGCCCGCATGTAAGCGCACACAGCGGTACTGCAGAGACAGCAGCCCTGAAAAGGAAGAAATCCGGGCAGATAAGACAATGAGTAACTCCAAGAGGATCCTGGGGCTGGAGGAGTAACTCCAGATAAAACCCTAGGCAACGGGGAAGGCCGAAAGGGACACGGGAGGCAGCAGGCAGAAATGTGACACAAGTTTATAATATGACAGAGAGAAAAAGGCATAGAAATAGCTGGTAATAACCTATAATGGAAAAGAATATATATATGAGTAACTGAATCACTGTGCTGTACGCCAGAAACTAACACAACATTGTAAATCAACTCTACTTCAATTTTAAAACAACTTTTATTTTATTTTTTTCTCTTTTTCAGTTTTATTATGTAGAATTATTAGTTTGACGGCACATGCTCATTATATTGCATTGAAATACATATACACAGTACTCTGCACTTTGTTTTAGTTTACATATATGTACTAATTACTGTTTCTAAGAAGAGATTAGATCTTTAGCTTTTTAAACTTACATAGTTATCAAAGGAATAAAGCCAGCTACAAAATAAGAATCTACAGAAGGCAGTAAGATTGCCTTGGTTGCTATAAGCTTTGGACAGTTTTTCAGAGTTCTGACAAACGTGATTTGGACAGCTTTTCCGGATTTTTTTTATATTTCTGTAGAAGGATAGGCTCTTAGACCTACTTACATCAACATTTTTGCTTCTTAATAAACTAATTCATAAGTTTTTTTAAAAGGCATATTAAAAAAAAAAAAAGGCTCGGTCTACTTTTGGAGGCAAAGGAGGAGCCATTACCCAGCAGCAGGGCAGTCCTGGTGGAACTGAAAGAACACGAGCCGGCCCACCCTGGGCTGCCGGACACCACCTGCCCACCCTGGGCTGCCGGACACCACCTGCCCAGGGACCCGCTTCCACACCCGGCCCTCCAGTGAGAAAGGGAGCACCTGCTTCACTCTCTGGTTGGCACGAGAGGCCCTGTGTGTGGTCATATGTGGACAGAGGATGTGCGGGCCTGGGGTCAAGATCCTGGGCCCCTAACAGAGAGGCAGGTGAGAGACCCAAAGGATGAGACACGTTTAAAAAACTCACAAAACATTTGACTTTAGGGTAGGAATTTCAGAACGCCCATCAACGTGATTTGAGATAAATTAAATCAAAACAAAATAAAGGAACGACCCATAGTCTCCCCAGGCGACACTGACTGGCACTGTCAGTGCAACCTAATTACACGTAAAGGGGGAAAAAGAGGACGTCGTCTCTCGTTCTCAGTAACGCTTCCGAGGACCACACTGTTTTAAACCACCGTCAAGAGATGTTGAAGGGCTGGCGGTGGAGGGGGGCTGGACTCACTCATTTATTCGACACATTACAGCCCAAAATCCATGTCCAACACGCCACTGCCTGGGGTCAGCCCTGCAGCAGGAGTCATCAGGGCGTCATATTTATTTTGGAGGGTTTGTTTCAAGGAATTGTCGAAGGACTTTTCCGAAAGAGGAGGGAGTGCATTAACAAGTATAGCACCATGTACATAACTGCTCGGTGTACAGATGTGTGTTTATGTACATACACACCGTACTTGGAAGGGGAAGAGCATCTGAAGCTCAGCCTTCAGCCCACTGTGTTATTAATACACAAACGGCTGTCACTGAGGTATGTATTACGTGAGGGAGAGGAAACCGGAACACTTATTCATAGCTTTTTTTTTTTAAGCAAATTACTTAGTGTGTTTTTATGGCAGGAGGGGGAAAAAATGTTAAAATGATTTCTAATGATGTCAGATATTTAAATGATGACTAATGCATTTTGTAGAAACAATAAACTAATAAATGTTTGAAAAAACAAAAAAGTATACTTATATATACATATTATATATAGCAATCATATATAAATATTTGCAATATAAAATACGTATATATTTGCAATATAGCAAACCCAAGAGAAGAAATAACCCAAACATAGGACACACACCTGCTGAAGCCTCACTGGACTCCAAACAATTTAAATACACAATTCGGTCTTTGCACAGAGGAAGAGGTCACTGCAGGGCTCTAACCAGATTTCAGGCATTTAGAAATATAGTGATCACTGTCGACCTTAAAAGTGGAGAAGGGTTTAAATGCACCCCAAAACATTTTCTAATAGATTCCAAACACACAGGAGCTACGACATATATTTGGGCATTTCTATCATCACAGTTTAAGATTAAAATTGCGTAGTTCAGGGACATTAGTACAAGCGTGTCTGTCCACCTAGACAGGCCTAGGTTCCAACGTGCTTAAAGCTCCTATAAGAACGGCCCATGCATCTTCAAAACAGACTCTCTCTCGTGTTTAAACTTCTCATACTCTAAGCTCACGCCGTTTCCTCCTGGCCGACCCACACAGCCGAGTGAAAAGCAAGATGGAAAAAACCAAGAGCAGATTCCCTAGCAACTCACAAACAGTTTTGCAAAAACACAACAGAGCTCACGCTGATCGCCACACTTTAGTCTCACAAACTGAACTGGGTATTAAATTCTAACGTTAATCCAGATGAAGAACTGCAAACCCCAGGCCTAACGCGGAAAGCTCTCTGAACTGCCCCACTGTCAAAGGAACGAGAGAAGCCATGAGGGCCCAGCGGAAAGCGCGCGACCCCCATGGTCGGCAGCTCCTTCTGATGAAAGGCTTTCAGAGCCAGGGGGACTGGCAGAGCTCTCTCACTGCCACTTCTTCGGGCTGCCCTTTTCAACATTCTTTACATTTTATTTTTGCTGTTTACCAGCAAGCGTAGTGAGAGGCCACCCGGACGTGCCTAGTGTCTGTTTAACATCAGAACGTGCAGGGATGCGGGGCGGGGCCCCGAGGCCCACGTCCCGGGCGCTCCACTCGCAAAGCTCGGCATCTGAGGACGCGGCTCGTCCATCATCACCAAACCCTGCAGAGAAGTCCCAGCGGCGTGCACGCGCTGCTGGCCAGCTGCTTGCTGCCCCGGGATAAGCACTCACTCGGTGCATCACCTCAAGAGTGCTCGGGGCCGGAAATCTCTCTTGGGGCCAGAAAGAACAATGGAGAAAAAGAGAACTCCTGAAGGGATCCCAAAGGAAAGTATGAGAGACAGCTGCCTCCGCTCAGCTCCTGGACATCCAGGAGACAAGCCAGAGCTCCCAGGCGTCCAGGTACAATGGCATGAACCATTCCCCATAAGCCCCTGGGGCAATTTCTGCAGGCAGCTTTGGGGGCCTGATGGCTTCTGTGCCAACACTTCCCCGGCCTCCAGCTCCCAGCCCGGAGTCCAGCTTTTTACCCAGATGCACATGACAGAAGGAAACCAGGGCATTCCTTCACCCCACACTACACCATCCCATCAGCAGCCCGGGGCGGGGGGGCTGGCCTGACCCCACACCACCACCTCCTTGTCTCTCTGGAAAGCACCTTCCACAGCCTGGCACCACTGGCTGACTACACAGCAAAAACTTCTTTTAAGGAAGAACATGGCGCAGGCATAGGTCAAAGCAATTTCAGATTAAAATGCTGCATTACCAGAGTGGACTTTGAAAGTCTGACTGCAAAAACTTTCAACACTCTTACTTTTCACAAAAGCGGTTCTAAACTAAGAAGCAGGGTCTTTAACGCACCAGGTACGAGGCTCTGCAAACCTCACCTCCCTGAATCTTAAAAACCACCCTACTCCTGGCCACTACTGTCATTTCACAAATAATGAAACTGCAGCATGGACAGGTGAGACACCTGGGCCCAGTTTACACAGGTGTGTCAGCGCCAGGATTCAAACTCACATCCAAAGTCCCTCCCTGTCTACCATAAACAGCAGGGCCAAGAAGCACTGTGGAGTCTGAAGTCTGCAGTTACCGGCTGTCTGTGTGACCTCACGAAAGCAGCTTAACCTCTCTGTGCCCCAGTTTCTTCATCTGTCAGAGGGGGTGATAACAGTCCCTGTCCCTCACAGAATTGTGGTGACACTTACATGAGTGAACACAGGTCAAGCATTTAGAGCAGTGCCTACGTGAGAAAAGTTAAACAAACGTTAGCTGTAATTATTACTGTTACACCACCATAAACCATGCCTCCTATGTATCCAAGCTACTCAAGCTTTTCAAGTGTAAGAAATTTAGGTCCAATGATAACATCTTGCTGCCCCCGGATTACACCGTGAGGATGGAGTCAAGAGCTAGACAAGAATCATGCCCAGACATTTTAAGACTTCTATTGTTTTCGAAAGCAGAGAAAGACCACAAACAGAAAGACATGACACACACACACACAAGTCAACAGACGGCTGAGACCAAACGCTTAAAGGATCTGGTGAAGAGACCTTAAATACCAGTTAATGAGTCCAGTGGCCCCAGTCTACCAAGTACTCACACTACGATCCAAACACAGCAAAGTAACTTCAAAAGAAGTATTTCCGCTCATCACATCATCAGAAACAAAACAAAGCAGAGGCGTGAACTGAAACATACACGACAGGGCTGGAAGGATCTGGGGGAGGC